TGGGTCGCCCGTGTGTGGGGCAGTGGGGTTGGTTGTGGGTCGCCCGTGTGTAGGGGATGGGGGTTGGTTGTGTGGTGGTTTGTTTTTTTTTGTTTTTGTTTTTGTTTTTGTTTTGTTCAACCAATTTTTCCCCTGCCATATTCAGGATTTTTTTGTGAAAGTATATGGCAACTCTAGTCCTCATTCCCCCTTCTTTCTATATTGGCATGCTATTTGCCCTTTTCTGGTCTTCTGGAATAGTTGCTAATGTCTGAGAGCTCCTCAGTCAGCTCCTTTATTCATGGATGTAGTTTATCAGGCCTTAGTGACTTGAAAACCTCTAACTTGTTAAAAATTACTTAGACTTTCCCTATTTTAGTCTCTTTGCCTGCCTCATTTTCACTGACATTCATTAAATTAAACGTCCAAATGCTACTAAGCTTTTTGGTGAAAAACAAAGCAAAGTCATTTAGGGCTTCCGTCATGTCCACATTATCTGTTTGTTTTTTCTTCACTCAATTACTGAATTAGCAGGCCTGTTTTTTCTGACTTGTACAAGTATAAGTGAAGAATAATTCCACTGACACTGCAGTGGCTTAAAACAAGGATGTAACATCCCATTTAATTGGTTAGCTGGTCAAACAATGTTTGGCCTGTTAATTGATTAAAGGCGGTTGGCCGGGGGTGGAATGGCCTGGCCTCCCTGTCACAGACAAGAGCTTTGGGCCCTGAGGGACTGCAACAGCCTCCTGTCCATGGTGGCCAGTTAACTGGTAAGCCTCACAGGTTCTGGTTAATTGGCTAACCATATACATCCTAGCTTAAAATAATATTGGTGAAAGGAGAATCACTTAAAATCCATCTTCAGATTTCCTTGTATTACAGATATTCATTTTGATACATCTCTCCGCACATATAGCATACAGAGGGTACGTCTAGACTACATGCCTCTGTTTTCAGAGGCATGTAGATTAGGCTACCAGATATAGGAAAATGAAGCAGCGATTTAAATAATCGCCGCTTCGTTTAAATTTACACAGCTGCCGCGCTGAGCCAACAAACAGCTGATCAGCTGTTTGTTGGCTCAGCGCGGCAGCTGTGTAAATTTAAACGAAGCGGCGATTATTTAAATCGCTGCTTCATTTTCCTATATCTGGTAGCCTAATCTACATGCCTCTGAAAACAGAGGCATGTAGTCTAGACGTACCCTCTGTATGCTATATGTGCGGAGAGATGTATCAAAATGAATATCTGTAATACAAGGAAATCTGAAGATGGATTTTAAGTAGAAATCTTCAGGTTTAAAAATCCGTTGAGTTTGGTGAGGGTGAAATATGCATCTCTTTTATGTGGTCCTTAGTGCCACTTGCGTTTGCTTTAATTTTGAAGAGGGAGAAAATGTGTTGGTAATTTTCAGAACACATGCAATATTTTTTCCTCCTTGAACTAGGCAAGGCACTGCCTCTCCACCCAAAGCAAACTTCATAGAAGCGGATAAGTATTTCCTTCCGTTTGAGCTGGCCTGCCAATCAAAGTCCCCACGCATTGTCAGTACCTCACTAGACTGCTTGCAGGTAAGAGTTCTGTTTTAAAATGGAATAGAGTAAGATATAGGCAAAATGATCTAAAATCTTCTATTAGGAATAACAACATCAAAGGAATGAATTTAGCCAGAAAATGCACAGTTTACTTCTACTGACATTCTATGCCACTCTGTAATGGAGAAGTTTGTGCTGAATTAACATTTCCTGCAAAAAAATTTTTTTTTTCTTCCTCTCTTCCATCACTTCAGCTGCCTGAGGCAGGCAGCTGGGGTGCAGGGAGTATGATTGTATTTTGGTGGTTTGTCAAAACAACAAATCATTTTGTAAAATTTTGAAATACAGTGTGCAGTGGTTTTTGGTTTTTGTTTTGTTTTTTTGGTACAGAATTTTCCCAGGAATAATTCATATGTAAATCACACAGAATAAGGCTTTACGAAAGTGTCTGAAAAATCTGAAAACTGGTGTTGGTCTAGAAGTGGAATGGTTTCTCCTCAGCTTCCCAAAAGATCCCGTTCAGCTGCCTTGAAGCCTTTTTTGAACTAAATAAACATACATCAGCTTTAGCTTTTCAGATATTTCAACTTTTTACGTAATGTGGTAAAACATTCACTATAAAGATTTGCAGATGGAAACTAGAGTTCTTAATGGGGCCATTGTAGTAAACCAGAAGTCAGTTGGAGTTTTGGGTGCAGGATCAGGGCCATTGATTAGCGTCCATTTTTATCAGCTGTTTCTAATAATTGGGCTTTTTCAGGAATTTCAACTTTTAAGCAGAATTTTTGTGGGTGCGAAAAATTACTCCCAAAATAAAACTTATTCAAGTTTATAGCAGAAAATTTTATTAATACATATTTTGTATTTTGTTGACTATAATATGGACTTTTAAGGCGTCTTTTTAAGATGGCATTTTGTTTCTACCTGCTCATTGCTGGAACAAAGTTGCAGAGGAGAAATTAGACTGGAAAAAGTTTTGTTTTTTAAAACTTTAGTTGACATATAGACAGTATAAGCATACATATGAGTGCTCCAGTCTGGTTGAGCTCTTTTTTGTGCTATCACCAAGGGTGAGCATTGTTGTCTCATACAAGGCTGTAATTGTGTAGGAGAAACATTTATAAAAATCTTTTCCTGTGCTGCATTTCAGGTTGACTTTTGTAATTAATAATGTGTAATGAATGCTCCAATCTCTATTGTCTCCATGTAGAAACTCATTGCATATGGACATATCACTGGCAACGCTCCAGATAGTGGAGCCCCTGGAAAGCGACTGATTGACCGGATAGTTGAAACCATTTGCAATTGCTTTCAGGGCCCTCAAACAGATGAAGGAGTACAGTTACAAATAATTAAGGTATTTCAGTTCACTTTGTTTTTTAAGATTCATTTTTGGAGTTTGTTTAACGGAAAATTCATACTATCGGGCATGTTACACAGCAGCAATTGAATTCTGAAATCTGAAAGCCTGAATAAGGGCCAAATTCTTCACCTGTTTATAGTTGATGTAGTCTCATTGATTGCAATGAGGTTTTCAAAGAGTGTAAACTGGTGAGGAATGGGGACATTTTCTTTTGATAAAAATGAAAATAAATTATGTGAGACTATAAAATTAGAGGACCCCAGTAGATATTTGTCCACCACACACTATGCTTAGAAGATTAGGCATACTATAGCAGCCTCATTAGTTTAGTTTTGGTCCAGGAACATGAGGATATTGCAGGTAAGAGCAGATGTTTTGCTTAGTGGAGATTTAATAATTTCAAGCCAAACTTTAAATTTTTTCCTCCTTTGACCAAGGGGGTCTGTAATTTGATTGTGAAGATGGAGCAAATCCTTACTTCCTTACAATAAGTTGTCTTTTAGGCAAACATTTGATGTACTTTTAAAAATTGCATGGAGTAGATTGATAACTCCAATCTCTGTACAAATTTCAGTTAGAGCATCATAGAATAGAAGGGACTGTAAGGGTCATCTAGTTTAACCCCATGCCAAGATGCAGGATTTGTTGTGTAAACTTCATCCAGTCTGATTTTGATTGCAAAGAAATAGAAACCTTATAAAGGTAGACTGCAGTAGATGTGTGTATTCCACATCAAAGCTATGACCTATTTATTTACTTGTGTAAATCTTTTTAAAATATGATTGTTCCTACTTATTTATGTTTCAGTTTTACTCTGTGTGTGTTTCTTTTGAAGGCTCTTCTTACTGCTGTGACATCTCCGTATATAGAAATTCATGAAGGAACTATTCTTCAGACTGTTAGAACCTGTTACAACATCTATTTAGCCAGTAAAAATCTTATTAATCAGACTACTGCCAAGGCTACCCTCACTCAGATGCTGAATGTTATTTTCACCCGGATGGAGAATCAAGCTGTATGTCATTATTTCTTTTACTAATCCATCTTCTTTAATGTTAAGCCAGGAAAAATTGTGATTCGATATCTTTTGCTCTGTAGTAAAGAAAACATGGGCCAAATTCTGATTTGATGTGTTACTGATAACAGAATTTGACCCTATAATTTAGGCTTAATAGGTCTGCATAGAGCTCCCTAGGCTTTTTTTGTTCTGGATTTGCCCTCAGAAGAAATTGTATGCTTTTAAATGTCAAGAAAACACAGTTCTATTAATCTTTGCTAATCTAATACCAGACAGGCAAGCATACTGTACAAAATAAAGCAATTCATTACACAAGCAAAGCACAGAGGAGGTTGCATACAAATACAGTTATAATTTTTATTAAACATGATTTGTAAATCAACTCCATAATAGTCAACATTTTGAAAATAAGGAAAAAACAGACCTCAGATTTGAAGTGGGATATGCCTATGAAAAAGCTAATCTGTCAAGTGTAATAAAATATCTTGAATAAAATTTGAGATGAAAAAATCCATGAAGCTTGTAGCTAGAGCAGAAAGATTAGTTTCTAATTGAATCTCATAACATTGAAGCAAGGCTATTCAGTAGGCAGACTGCAGGTCAAATCTGGACTGCCAGATGTATTTGAACATACCCTGACACATTTTTGTAATTATTTTCTTCTCTGGAGTCTGGACTTTGATTAAAAAATAAGACTACACCGCCGTAAAGTGTGAACTTGTATGTATTTTTGCCGTATTTCATTGTATGATGTGTAAGTTGTACATTAAGCTTCTCTTTGCTGTATTATCGGATTTATTTTTAGAGAAACAGTATCACCTTTGTTTTTTAGGTACAAGAGGCCAGAGAATTAGAAAAAACAAATCAGCAAAAATCCCAGTCTCCCCTGATTCAAGCTGTGGCAGGATCTCCAAAGGATAATCTGCTGCGGCACAACCATCAAGAAGGGAAACCCTCAACCCCCGAAAGAACAGATTTAACAAATGGCGAGCCTGAGAGAACAGAAAATGCAGACCAGAAGCTAGAAAGAGATCTGACTCCTTCAGTCTCGGGTAAATGAGATCACATTGCTTCTGCTGACCTACAGTAAAATGAGTTGCTCGGGGGGTAATATTGAGTATATCCCTATAGGTTCTTTTAAACTCCATCTTTTTTTTTAAATGGCTTGTTAAATCCTGAAAATAACACTGCCTTACTTTTGGCAATCAGGTCAGCCTCTCTTCCCTCCTATTCTCTACTTTGGAGCACAAGGTAACATGGCTCTAATTTCTTGGCGTGAAAAAGCAAGATACAATAGTGAAGTTGTTGATGCAAGTCTTATCTAGCTCTGTACCTGCCAAGACACATATTCTAGAATAATGCACTTACAGCATGTGTCTTGCAGGCTTGTCAGTGTAAGTGGATAGATATACTTAGGACTTAAACATTTTCTCTACCAAAGTGTAACCACTTTAAAATGAGTGAAATTAACATCTTAGGCTATTAGATAATATAAAATCTGTGTGTGCAGGGTTGTGCTGAGTTTTGACCTTTGTTTTCAGTTGGGGGGAATGGAGATAGTGAGATAAGGTGTATAGAAAAGACAAAGCTAAAGCTTGTTGAAAAATCCTTGGGGGGCAGGGGAAGAGTACGTGAACATCTACTACAGAGAGTTTCATAATGCCACACGCAAAGGTCCAATTAGAGGTTGCAGAGGAAGTCTTAATTCTGGCATTTCCTAATCTTTCAGTGCTTGATTTTCATATTTAATGTTCTTTTACTGTTGGGTTTTTGTTAATTGTGTAAAACAGTACTACTAACAATCTTGTGCTTTGTCAGTATGTGGCTACAGTAAATAGCATTACGTAGGTAGAGTGGTGGGGTGATATACAAAACTCCTTTAAAATAAAACACTAAATTGCAGTATTCTTCTTACTTCCTCACACACACAAAAATTACTGGCCTGTTTAATCAGGAGAAACAACTGATGGAGGCAAGGAAATGGTTACAGACATCTTGGAGGATGTGATCATCTCAGCAGTTAAAGGTAAAACTTTACTTGGAAAGGTTCTTCTCATATGAAACACATATATTTGACCAGCTTTTGCTTTGTGCTTTTAAAAGAATGGAATACCATTTTCCTTAATGTATTTAGAGATCCACAGATCTTGTCTAATTCCTACTGAGACCTGTAGTAGGAATGCTATCAACACCCTCCCACATCACAGTAATCCTTCCTTTGGCTCATACTGAGACAACCTCCCCTGTAGCCAATTAGTGCTGCTCTTGTCCATAAGGCACATGAGTGTCACCTGTGCCCTAAGCATTTGTATAATGACACTGATATTTTAGTAAGTTTATTATTCCAAGTATTTGGGTTTTTTCTCTGGTGTTTTTATTTAAGTGGCTGAAGAAAAGCATGTTGTGGCTGAAGCATTAAGGCCCTCATCTGAATTAGAAGGTGCAGATCTTCCCCCAGCTGGTGGTATTAATGAAAATGTACAAACAAATGGAATTCCTGATGACAGACAGTCTCTCTCTTCCACGGATAATCTGGTAAAAAAAACACTTCTGAATCTTTTGGGGAAGAAAAATCAGAATGTGTTCAAAAAGAGAGTATTTGGTTTTGAAAATTGGGTGTGGGACAATGTTAATTTTTGCTTTCTACCTGAAAGGAAGATTCAGGTTGCATAATGCAGTGTTTCTCAATCTTTTTTTATAAAGTACCCCCTCTTAAAATTGTAAGTACCCCCAGTACCTACAGTTTTCAGACATGCACACCACAACATTTTTCTACTATTGAAACACATTTGTTTTAACAACTTAATCATAGCCGGGCGTCCAATTACATTTTTGGGTGTAAAAAGTACAAAAATAAAGCGCTATAAAACTTAAAACAAAAATTCTGTTTTCTCCAAGTTTCAGTTGTTGATGTATCCCCCAGACTTCTCTCAAGTACCCTTAAGAATATTTGTACCACTGGTTGAGAAACACTGGCATAATGCAACTCAACATAGGAACTCTTTCCATTTACATTAATTCTATTGCATAGGAGTTCTGTGGTCTTGAATAGTGATAAAATAGCCTATTTGCGTGAATGCCTGTAGATATTAATTTACTTACTTAATTTAGTTTAGTCTTTTTCAGTACTTGGATCTTTCAGTTTTTCATCTGAAAGTTTGTTCTCTTCTTTTTCATAGGTAACTTGGAAAACCAACCCCTTCAAATTTATGGTGCTTTAGTTTTTTTCCTTACAGTCCTTTCTATTAAATACCATTGCTTATATTACTGGCATCTTCGGATTTGTCTAAATGACTACTTGGTTCGTGTTAGTCCAAGCTGTAAATATACCATATACTACTTTGCCATGCATTGTGGCCATTTAGACCATGCTGCTCTATACTAAAAATTTGCTCCTGTGTTTTGAGCTACTCCCGGGAACTTTCAGTTCACAGCAGAAGAGTTAGCACAGAGGTTTAGTGCATGGCCAGCTAGTCAGAGTAGTTTTACATCCCAGATTGCTACACATTAAGTGTTTGTTTGAAATGGAGAAAACAAAATCTAATGTTGTTTATGGAGTATTTTACATTTCTCACTGTAAACAGTCAGTTTTACTTTTGGATGTTCTTGCACCACGACGCTGCTGTGGTTATGAACACTGCAGACAGATGACTTTATATACAAATTCAATTAGAACTTTAAAAATAAATCATTGCTTTTCTGCTAGCTTGTGTAAAGATGGTTTTCCTGACCTTCAGTTTGTGGCTAAGCTTGGCTTATGGTAACTCCTAATTTTTTCACCTTATCAGTTGTTGAAATAAAGATTTGATGTGGTGGTTCTTTACTCATTAGGAAACAGATGTACCTGGATGCCAGTCAGCTGCCAAATTCTCCCATATCCTGCAGAAGGATGCCTTCCTTGTTTTCCGGTCACTGTGCAAGCTTTCGATGAAACCCCTTGGTGATGGACCACCAGATCCCAAGTAATGAAATGAGATTTACTGAGTTCTACTCTCTCCTCTCTAGATAACTGTTTTTAGGAACAAAGGGAATCAGATTGTCTATGTACTTTGTAGTATAGCCTTGTTAATCCTAAACTCCAAGTTATGCCTCTGTGTTTGAATATATTGAGAGAGGTTTTTTTGCATTAAAAGTTCCCTGTATGCAAACCTTTCTGCTTAAGTAAACCAAATAACAAAAGAATGCAGTATTGCAAGAAACCATTATGCAGGAGTTCTTCAGGACACAACAGTAAAAGTTGCCTTTGCTGTAGTGTCTCTGCAGCTCTGTAGACAGAACATGTACTTATTCTGCAGTTTGAATTCTATGCATTATGCAGCCAATAGAATTAACTGACCCCATCCCTGGGGTTGCAAACATCTAATATCAGAGGGGTAGCTGTGTTAGTCTGAATCAGCAAAAGCGGCGAGGAGTCCTGTGGCATCTTATAGACTAACTGAAGTGTTGGAGCATAAGCTTTTGTGGGCAAAGACCCACTTCGTCAGATGCATGTGACATCTAATATTCTCTTGAAGAAGAACTCCAAGGTAAGAAAATTGCTCTTCCCTGGTATTCTTGGCAGAGACCTCAAGCAAATTATTGAAACGAACGGAGGTAGTGCTCATTTTACTGGGCTCCTGCAGTCACTGTGACTTATGTGCATGCACACGCGTGCGTGAGAGTGAGTAACCTATTTTCTCAACAGTTGTCTTCTGCTGTCTTCCCTAGATCCCATGAGTTGCGTTCTAAGATAGTGTCCCTCCAGCTACTTCTCTCCGTATTGCAGAATGCTGGTGCAGTATTCAGGACCCATGAAATGTTCATCAATGCAATAAAGCAATATCTATGTGTAGCGTTATCAAAAAACGGGGTCTCTTCTGTTCCTGATGTGTTTGAGCTGTCCCTTGCCATCTTTCTCACACTGCTGTCAAATTTTAAGACCCATTTAAAAATGCAGATTGAGGTAAGCATGCTTTATGTTCATTTTTACCTACAAAATGTTCACTCAGTAGTATTTGCTAATGCAAAGCAGAGTACAATACTTCAAAAGTTGCTGCCTCAATTTTGCTTGTTTTGCAAGCTTAAGTACTACTTCCTTTACAAATTGTTCCAAATGAAATTCCTATGTACAAATGAATATACTCATTTAGCATGTTCAAAGATTCTTCAGTAGAAAACTGCAGACATTGTCTCTTTGTTTCATTTGTTGTGCACAGGTGTTTTTCAAAGAGATCTTCCTGAATATTTTGGAGACCTCCTCAAGTTCTTTTGAGCACAAATGGATGGTGATTCAGACTTTGACTAGAATTTGTGCAGGTATTTCATTATAAAAGTTACTTATTCTTCAAAGTGTAGAAATAATGTTCCTTTTGGTTTGACAGTAAAATGGAAATACTAAGTCAGCTAATGTAGGATTGGTAGTGGTAGCTTTATAGTGTGTGCCCTTAAAAGAGCACTTGTCTTTTTATTCAAAATATTTTGATCAAGAAATGATACATAAGATAACTGTGCTCTGATACCATCATGATAAGTATGGTTTAAAAACAGACTTGAATTCTTTCCACTTTCTGGTTTTTCTTAAGTTCTAGAACTCTGAATTCTAATACTCTGACTTTCTCATTTTTAAGATGCTCAGTGTGTGGTGGATATTTACGTTAACTACGACTGTGATTTAAATGCTGCTAATATCTTTGAACGCCTTGTGAATGACTTGTCTAAAATTGCTCAGGGAAGGAGTGGGCATGAGTTGGGAATGACACCTTTACAGGTAAGAGCAACAGCAGTAGAGATTATAATATAGTTCTGCTTTTCCTTCAGTGCTGACTCCTTTAAGTAATTAGTTTTTACTTGTAACTGAGTTGCATCTTATACAATTGGTTTTATTAAGTCACCTGTATACTGTCAATGAGGAGGTAGTCCTATTGTTTCATCGCCTAGTGAATTTAGCTGCTTGAATGCCCAAAGATGATGCTAATTATACATGTCCTGGTCACACTTGTTTTGTTG